AGGGCGGGGATCGGGGGCTGGATACGCGGTGCCCCCCGGCCCAGCGTGGATCTCCGCTGTCACTCCACACCCGTTAGCAGGACCCCGGCTGGCTTCCAGCTGCAGCCTGGGCTGTAACGCCGGGGAGAGGAAGCCGTGTCCCTCTGACCCCGGCACCCACGTCTGGCGGGCGCCCAGCTCAGACGGGCGCTCACAAACCCCGGAGCTCTCGGGCCAGCCCCGCTTCCCGGCCCCTGCCCTCTGTCCTCCCTCTGCTCCGCCGCGTCCCCGAGGTGAGAAGACACGAGAGGAATGAGGTCAGTGGCACGGAGTCCCTCTCGCAGAGGGGAGGTGACTTCCGCGGGCTCGTGGGACCCCAGGCCCGGAGGCGGGACGGCTGTGGACCAGCCAGGGCGCTGGGGCCGGGGGTGCTCACTTGGTGACCTTGAAGATCCTGAGCAGGCGGATGCAGCGCAGCACGGAGATGCCCAGGGGGCTCATGGCGCCGGTGCCCACGAGCAGCAGCTCCAGCAGGCCGCTGCACACCACGAAGCAGTCGAAGCGGTTGAACAGGGACATGAGGTACTGTCGCAGGCCCAGGCCGTACATCTTCATCAGCATCTCCACGGTGAAGAGGGACAGCAGCACCTGGTTGGCTACGTCTGGGGGCGACAGCGGGGCGCGGCCTTGCTCTGCTGCCCTTCCCGCCCCCGGGCCCTCTCCTGGCTGGGCCCTGCACCTAGGACGCCCGCCCACGTTTCCAAGCCATCGGCCGTTTTTCCACTCTCAAAACCGTGAAACCTCGTAAAGTTTCGCCCATCGGAGGAACAGGAACCTGGGTTTCTAAAGAGCCAAGCGGCCCCGCCACCCTGAGAGGCGCCCCCTCGGCTCGGTGCCAGTCCCCCGCCGCTCCGTGCCGCCAGGTCCAGGGGCAGTGGACCCTTGCTTTCCTGCCCCCCAGAAGCACTGGGCACTGGGCGTCTTGGCTGCCTGACACCACGTCCTTCCCCAGCGGGTTACTGCCATTTCCCCGAGGAGGAATGTCTGCAGAACAACGTCCGCATCTCTTCCGCACGGCCCGCACGGCCTCTGGCTGGCTTTGGCCATCGGCCGCATGTGTCCTCTTCCCGGCCTGACTCACCTTGCAGGTGGGTCAACCAGAGAGGCTGGGCGTGGTGCTCGGAGGCTATGGACAGGGTGTTGAGGGCCACGATCAGGATCACCAGCCAGTAGAAGGCCCTGGACTTCAGCACTTCGCGGCATTTCCAGCGAAGGACGCGGTTCCACCGCCTCCCGTGCCGGCTGAGGCAGGAGACGGAGCAGGATGAGGGCGGGGAGCCGGGTTGCTCCGAGCCCTGCCGGACCGGCCCTGGCCCCACCAAGTCTGAGCCCCCGTCCCCTCCGGCCACACGGGAGAGGCCGAGGGCACCGCCATGAAGCCGGCCGACCTGCTCCCTGTCTCTCACTAGCTAGGTCCTCCCTGTCCCCCGGGAGCACAGCAGGGTGCAGCCTCGTGGCTGACGGGACACAAGGCCAAGCGCTCGGCTCGGAGCCTGGCGGGGAGGGCTCCACGCGTGTTCGTTTTAGTGACGGCAACACCGAGAAGCCAGGTTTTGCCCGGTGTAAAAGCGATTCGTTGGCAGATCAATGGTATCGGGTGTTGGGGGTGGCGGGCAGGGCGCCTTCACGCTCAGCGCCCCCTTCCTGGAGAGCAAAGAGGCAAAACTACGGAGACAGCAAGCCGATCGGGGGTTCCTCGCGGTGGGGGTTGGGAGGGAGGCCTCGTGGAGAGTGGGGGGTTCTTTAGGGCAGTGGAAGTATTCGGCGTGATTCCGTAATGACGTATTCACGTCATTCCACGTCTGTCCAAACCCACAGGATGCACAGCACCGAGAGCGGCCCTGATGTCAGCTGTGGCCGCTGGGTGATCGTGACGTGTCCATGTGGGTCCATCGATGGTGACAAATGTGCCCTCTGGCGAGGGCGTGATGATGGGGGAGGCTGTGTGTGTTGGGGAACAGGGGGTATGTGTCTCTACCTTCTGCTCAATTTTTCCGTGAATCCCAAACCACTCTAAAAAAAAATAGTCTTAAGAAAGAAAGACGTGTGTGTATAGGTGTGAAGTTGCCCTTAATAGATAATTTTAAGTTAAAAATGTAAGTGACTGGGTAATATACATATCACATTCATTTATTCATCAAATACCTGGCAGCACCTCCTGTGTGTTGGGTGCTGCTCTAGGCTCTGAAGTGACAGGAGTTAATATAAGTAACCCTATCATTTAAAAATCAAAATCAAAAAACCAGAAAACCTGGTGTGCGTGTGTGCACGTGTGTGTGCGTGCGTGTGTGTGTGTGTGCACGAGAGAGAGAGAGAGAGATGAACGTGGAAAGGCTCGAAGGGTGCCAGTCTGTTACCATGGTTACCTCTGTGCAGGGCGGTGGGGCCTCATCTTTTCTTTGATGTGTTTCTCTACTGTTTGATCTTTCAAAATTACGATTATGTTTGAATTTGTAACAGGAAGCAGCCGACCAGACAAACACACTGTCCTTTCGAGACAAAGGCACGGGCTGCCAGCCTCCTTCCTGCAAAGCTCCCCTGCTGCCCCTTTGGGGCGCACGCCTCCCCTCTTCCCCTGCAGAGGTTCCGGGACTAACTGTCCCCCCAGCTCCACTCTGAGCAGAGGGCAGCGGCCAGGTGAGCTCGCTGCCCCAGCCGCGGTCTCTGAGCAGGTCGTTGGCTCAGCGCCTTCGACTGCACTAATGGACGGGGGCAGTGACCCTAAAGCCACCTCGGACGGAGGCAGCCGGGTTCTAGCGTCACGTCTCAGCGAGCCGGGGGCTGGGGGGACCCGGGGAGACGGGGAGACACTCACACGAACTGGATGACTTTGTCCAAACCCTCGATCTCAAAAAGGCTCTCAGTGTCCGAAGCACCTTCATCCAGAGACAGCTTTCCTGGGGACCAGAGCGAGACAGTGAGCCAGGCTGCCAGGCCCTCTCTGAGCTGGACACAGCTGGGCAGGGCCCTTGACCGGAGACTCCTGGGACAGCAGGCTGCAGGTGGCCCGGGTCTCTCCGCTCTCCTTGGACTGGGTTCCGGCAGCCTGGGGCGGGGGCGGTGGGGCGCCCAGCACCTCAGGGAGAGCCCTGGGCACACCTGGGCTACCGCTGTGAGCCGTCGGCGTCAGGCGAGGCACTCGCCCCTGAGGGCCTCGGCCTTCTGATCTGCCACAGGCGGTGCTGCCTGCTTGGCGGGCCCGCCAGGCTTCCGGGAAGGGCAGCAGCGGGCATGGAGGCCACAAAGGGGCCCGAACCTTCTCGCGAGTCTTCGTCGTCCATGACCTCGCCCTGCGTGATCCAGCTCATGTAGCCCCGGAGGTCCTCGTCCAGCTGCTGCTTCTCCCGGAGTTTCTGGAAGGTTCCTCTGGACTTGGCCTTCTCTCGTTCCTTGGTAAACTCCCTGCAATGGGGCAGGGGGAGGGCGGAGGGGTGCAGGGAGGATTGCGCCTCCCAAGGAGACACCGGGCACCCTCTGCGGCTGGCTACGCCCCCTCCTTCTGGCCCGGGAGTCACCTGGGGTGCAGGCCCCCTCCCCTCCCCTCCCAGGAGCTGCCTTACCCGCTCAGGACTCCCAGCACCAGGTTGAGGATGAAGAAGGAGCCCAGCAGAATGAGGGTGACAAAGTAGATCCATGGCCACTCGTTCCCGATGGCATCGTTGACCTGGTCGGACAGAGCTGAGAGTCCCCTCCCCTGCCCTGAGCCCCACCATTTCACAAGGAGAGAGGCCCTCTGGGCCATGGGAGGGGACTTTTCTGTCCCGAGGACCCAGGACCTGGAGGGAAAGGACCTCCCAAGGGGGCCTTGCCGACTGTCCCCGGGCCCGGTACGACTGACGCATTTCTCCCGCCACCCGAACGCCTCCCCGGCCTGAGTCTCACGGATGCCATTTCCGTCTGAGTTCTTTACAGCCAAGATTTTTCAAAGCAAAAGAAACGGTACAAAGTCTTGGCCTGAGCTTGGCTACCTCCTTCGCGGACAACCTCTGTGACCCAAGACAAGTCACCCAACACCTCCGAACATTATCCCATCTGCCTAATTTAGAGGATGTTGACATGCACTGCCTCCTTGAAGCAGAGCTAGAGTCACACAGCGACAGCCCTTTCAAATGCTGACTGATTTGCTCCCACAACAGGGACCCACAAGAACTGTTCTAACTAATCCTTTGTATTTGCGAAGCACTTGACAGTGTGACGATGTTTCCGCACAGGCAGAGCCACGCTGTGGTTAAGGCCGGGACTGGAGCCAGGCGGATTCGAGTGGAGTCCTCGGACCGATTACTCACAAGCTCCGTAACTGCCGGCAAGTTCCGGAACCCCTCTGAGCCTCAGTTTCCCTAGCTGTGGAATGGGGACGATGCCTTCTCTTGCGGGAGGATTAAATAAGAGATGCACCGAAGCGAAATCTGAGACTCCAGGCCATCAGGGAGGAGCCATCACAGCCAGGCTTAGGGACAAGGAGGGACTGAGCACAGCCAGACCACGGAGCTCCTGGCTCTCATTTGTCTGCCCCCTTGGGTCCCACATAGACTGGCTGTGCGCTGGGGCCTGCCCAAAGCATGCTGGGACACATACCTGAGGGTGAGTGCAGGGGGGCTGAGCCCCTGGACAGATCTCTCAGTGAGAAGGAGCAGGGCCACTCACATGGGTGGCCAGCGCTCCGGCCCCGTCCCCAGCCCCACCCCCGGCCCCCGCCCCACCTGGAATGCAGGGAGGTGAGCGGCAGGCAGCGGCCCAACCCACCCAGTAAAGGACGTCGGTCCAGCCCTCCATGGTGATGCACTGGTACACGGTCAGCATGGAGAAGCCGAAGTTGTCGAAGTGGGTGATGCCGTGGTTGGGCCCCGGCCAGCCACCCCGGCACTCGCTGCCGTTGATGGTGCACGGCCGGCCGGAGCCCGTCCTGGCACAGGGCGATGGCTTCTCGTTCTCCACCGTGGCCACGATGTCTGCAGCCGGGAGGCGGCGGGAGCGTCAGACCCAGGGGTTGGTGGCAACGATGGGAGAGAAATCGTTAGCATCACTGGCGGCAGGTCTGAGACACGGCAGCTGGGCGTGCAAAGGACCACACCGCGCGGAGCGCACGCGGTGGGTGGAGAGGGGTCCGGGGCCCAGGCCCCGCAGCGGGCATCCGTGGAGCAGTGACCACGCCTTAGGCCCCAGGGCCTCACAGGGCTCCTACAGTCACCTCCCTGTGAAGGGCGACCTCTGAAGCAGGTGGCAGGTAGCATATCGGTGTCATTTGTCCCCACAGAGCTTTAAAAAGGAGGCCTCAGCCTGGGGGGTGGAGGGCTGGGGCGGAGTCCCCCAGGTTCCGACTTGAGAGCTGCTTGGGAGCTGACGGGGAGACGCCCCGGAGTGGGGGGCTCTAAGGGACATGGGAACCTCCCGTGTCTGGGGCAGGGGCTGCTCTCGGGGACCCCCAACAGCCCTTAGCCTGCAGTCCCCTCTGTGCCTCGGGGGGTGCCCTCGGCGTCCCTAAAATGCCTCAGTTCCAGGGGCGTCCTGGGCCCTTCTCTGTCGGGTGTCTTAGTCCCCTTTTGTGTTCAGAGACCAGGCCAGCTCGTGGAGCTGGACGTCCCACCTGACCTCTGGAGCCAGGACGGCCCCGCACTCTGAGCAGGGCCCCCGACCCCTCACGTCGGGCGGCCCCCAGGGGACAGGCTCGTCAGCACTGGCCGGGAATGCGTGAGAACAGGCGAGGCCTTCGGATGCAGCTGGAAGCTGGTGACAGGGAGGCTGGCTCTCTGTCCTGAGCCCACTTGTCAGAGGACAGAGACTGTCGTGGGGACAGGGAGAGGCTGGGCCGGGAGGGGAGACACCGAAGGCTGTGGCGGGGTTTGCCGATTGAGCCGGGTTGAGACTTGGTGTCGCCCACCCCCTTGCGACCTGCGGGGGCGAGGAGGGGGCCCCGAGGCCTCGCCCGGCGCCCAGCCCCGGCTCACCCGTCCCAGTGAAGTAGCAGGTCTTGTGCATCTTGCCCTTGAACAGCTCCAGGCCGATGATGGCGTAGATGGTGACCATGAAGAGGACCAGCAGTGCTATGTGGAACAGGGGCAGCATGGCCTTGAAGATGGAGTTGAGGACCACTTGCAGGCCTGCAGCAGGTGGGGGCGGGGGTCAGCTCCCCTGGTGGCCCCGCGGTCCCCCGCTCCCCACACCCCAGGGGGAGGGACCCAGAACTGGGAGAGGGAGCAGGCTGGGGGGAGGGCAGGGCTGCGAGGCACGGCCACCCACTGGGCACCCCGGACACCAGCCGCAGGGGTCGGAGCACGCGGAAGGCCCTGAGGGCCTTCACGTCCAGGCCGGCCCCCTTGCTGCTCATGGGCGCCGTGTTGCTCTGGATGACGTTGACCTGCTCCAGGATCACGGTGAAGACCCTGCAGGTGGCAGAAAGAGGCCCAGCGGCCAGGTGAGCCACCGTCCCAGCGTCCTTCCTGTGCCCGGGGACCCACGGAGAGGCCCGGGAGAGAGACGGAACTGCTGTCACCGGCGGCTGGCTGGCTCGGTGCCGCTGCCCGGGGGCTTTGTGAGGGAGGGGCCCGAGGCCACGGTCAGACTCCACGACGAGGGACTGGATCCACTGGGGACGCTGCTCAGGGCTCTGGGGGTGGGGGGCGTGCGTCCAGGCATCCCCAGGGTGGGCGGCCCACCAGTCAGTGGGGGCCCGAGGGGGAAGCTCCGAGCAGCACGCACTGCCAGTCCTGCGTCCCCCTCCCTGCCCGCCTCGCGGCCACCCAGATTTCCACCGTCCTTTGCTGCCCGTCTCACGTCCCTCCTTAGGGACCCTGCCTTTGGCGACTGAACCCCCAGGCACATCGATAGAGCCCCCGGGACCATTTCCGACACTGTTATTCTGCATACATTTGTCTTGGCCTCCAAACAGGCCGACTCAGAGAATCCACCTGTTCTCCGGTCAGGCCCAGAGCAGCCCTGGGTGATGATACAGTCCACAGCGTTCACCGCCTCAGAGCACAGCGCGGGCTTACACAGCAGCCTCTGGGGCCGAGACGGCCTTGGTCTGGCCCCTGGCGCTGCTGCGGGCCAGCTCGGCCGGCTGTGTGGCCCCCGGCAAGCTGCCTGACTGCCTCGCCCCCCCTCCTCAAACGGAGAAAACGGGGGGTCGCCGGGGAGTTAGATGAGATGTCACGTGTGACGCACGCAGTTAGTGCCACTGTTCAAGGATGTACAGGTTATTAAAAGGCATGTTGGGGCTGAACTGGGCGTCCACCCCCCAAATCTGTATGTTGGAGCCCCGACCCCCAAGACGGGCCTTTAAAAAGGTGATTAAGTTAAACGAGGCCATGAGGCCAGGCCTCCTCCACCCCGACTGGTGTTCCCAGAGGAGGAAATCTGGACCCACGGAGAGATACTGGGTGGGGGCCCAGAGGCCAGATCCCGTGAGGACACAGGGAGAAGGTGGCCGTGAGGGTCCAAGGAGAGAGACCTCGGAGAGACCGAGCCCGCCCACAGCTTGACCTCCAACGTCCGCCCCCAAAACCGTGAGGAAATAAATTTCCCCTGCTTAAGCTGCCCTGTCCGAGGCGGCTCGAGCTGCCTGGCACAGGTCACTACACGTCCACTTTGCGGACGCAGCGAACAGGCCTGCGATCCAGGCCTGTGGAGCAAACGACTGGACGCTGAGGGCGGAGGGAGTTATGGCCCCGGGCCCAGTGCAGTGTGACGTAAAGGCTGAGGGGGCGCGGGGGCGCGGGGAGCCCCGGGTGGTGTGGCGTGAAGGCTGAGGGGGCGCGGGGGCGCGGGGAGCCCAGTGCAGTGTGGCGTAAAGGCTGAGGGGGTGCGGGGTCACGGGGAGCCCAGTGCAGTGCGGCGTAAAGGCTGAGGGGGCGTGGGGAGCCCCGGGGCCAGCCGGCGGCCTCACCCCAGGAAGACGATGATGAAGTCCATGGCGTTCCAGCCGCTGCGCAGGTAGGCGTCCTGGTGGAAGAGGAAGCCGTAGGCGATGATCTTCACAGCCGCCTCCAGGGAGAAGACCGCGAGGAAGACGTACTCCAGCTTCTCCTGCGGGCGGGGCAGCGAGCCAGCGCT